AACTGCTAGAATAATTAACCAGGGGAACAGAAGTTGCCACCAGAAGTTGTGGCTGCTCCATCACTGGAGGTTTTTAGGAAGAGACTGGAGAGTCACCTGTCTGGAATGGTATAGGGTCTATTGCTTGAGCAGGGGGCTGGACTAGAAGACCTCCAAGGTCCCTTCCAGTTCCATTCTATTCCATTCCAACTTCTCTTCTGATAGCCTGGCTTGTTTGGGGACCCCACCTACGAAGTCATAGATTAGCCAGAGTCTGCAGCTGCTGCACTCAGATCTCTGTGAGAAGGCAGAGCAATGGTCTGCCAGCATCCCTCGTTCATAAGAAGCCCAAGGAAGCCTCCGTAGGGCAGCTTCAGGCACAGGAGGGGGCAAAAGCATCGTCTACCCACACGTTTCGGCCCCAAACAAAGCCGCCCCATCCTCTCCTGCCTCTGCAGAATCCTCTCCCCTTGGCTTGGGAGGGAGGGGGGGCTTCGTTCAGCACATCACCAGCCCAGAGGAGGGAACTGCAGTGGGAAGGGAGGTTCCTGCTGCGGCTTCTTGTGGCTGCCATTCCTGCCCCACCGTTTCCCATCCCATCTGAGCACCTTCTGAGTTAAAAGAGCATGAAATAAAAACACACTTGAGAAACAGCAAGAAAGGCAGCTTGGCTCCCAGGTAAGCTACCCTTGGAAGGCTGCTCCTGCCCTGGACTCTTTTCAACACAGAATCAGAAAAGCCTAGAGGAGGAAGGGGCCTCAGAAGTCTTCTAGGAATCCACGGGTGTCAAATGTTGCCGTCACATTGGCGGAGCTGGGGTAGGCAAGGCCTGTGTGTGACTCATCCCGGCCCCCAGTTTGACACCCGGTTCTAGTCAACCCCCTGCCCATGCAGGAGTCCTTATACTACCCCAGGCAAATGAATGTCCTGATCTTTCCCTGAATGGGGCAGCCAGGAATCCAGAAGGCAGGCTGCTCCACTGCTAAATGGCTCTCCCTGTCAGGAAATTTCTTCTCTCTTTAACAAGCTTCCATTCATTGCTTCTTGTTCTATACTCTCGGGTGCTTTGGAGAAGCCCTCTTCTCTGTGACAACTCCTCAAGTGCTGGAAGACAGGGACCCTGTCCCCCCTCCTACTCCTTCCCTGGGATAGGCTAGAGCAGACATACCTACTGTAGCTCCCCTAGCCATTAGCTATATGGTGTAGCCTCCAGACCCTTTATCATCTTTGTTGCTCTTCTCTGCACTTTTCTTTGGGTCACAGCATTTTTTAAATATCTTGGCAATCAGAATTGGACACAGGATTCCAAGTATGGCTTCAGCAGTGCAGTATAAAGCAGTGCTATCCCTTCTCGTGATCTTGGTGCAGCCTAGGACTCCCTTGGCTTTTTTGGCAGCTGCAGCACATAGCTGGGTCCTACGTAGATGCTCCTCCTCTAGGTAGGACACCTAGATCCCTCTCATGGTTACTACTGTTGAGCCAGGTACCACCTGTTCTATACCTGTGCATTTGGTTTTGCTTCCTTAAGTATAAAAGTTTACTTTTCCCACCACATTTGTTGCATAGGGCCCAATGCTCAAGTCCTTCTGAATCTATCTTCCAGAGTTTAAATGTAAATTCCAAACGTCAAAGTAAATTCTGCTTTCCTCCTGGCTAGACTGACGTTGATGGGAGGGCTTAAAACTTGCCTCTTTACCCTGAAAACAAGCTCACAAAGCCACAAACAAGCACTTTGGAATGTTCTGCACTGTGCACCCTTTTTCCCTTCCATGGGGATGTTTTGGTGGACCAAGCAGAACATCTGTTAGATGGTCCTTTCCTTTCAAAGATCTCACCAAGTACTTACGACATCACCAGGATGGTGTGATCCCCAGTTTTAGCCTCTGGCCGAATGAGGTTGGCTGTGTCTCCTCTCTCCTACAGACCACCACACAGGCTCCCTGCAAAACACAGAGGAGAGCAAAAGCCAGGACAAGGCCTAAGAATCAAGCTGGTTGCTTCCCCCCACCCACCCCCCACACCCCACCAGTCTCTACAAGCAGGCACAATGCAGTGAAAAGCAAAGAAGACCACAAGGAGAATTATTATTGGAGTTTGTGACACAGTCACCCAGATGTTTAGGCTGGACTGGCATTTTTATCCACTGATCACATCCTTCCCAAGGACCTGATATAGGCAGGTGTTGTTTGATAGCATGAAAGGTACCGTCACAAAATATAAACTTGCCTTTTGCAATTGATGGGTGGGAACTTGTCAAAGCCAATGGTGTTCCAGTGGTTGTTCACAACAATGTGAACTCACAGCTGTTGGCCTTCCTATATATCTAGTTCTTCCCAAAAATCTAGGATGTCCTAATGTATCAGCATAGTCATAAAAATATGCGACCCAAGCCGTGTGGCCTTTTGCACTTGACAAATGGAAATGTTGTCAGTGTGTAGATTTCTAAGCATCATCCAAACCCTTTTTAGTGTGGCACTCAGAATGGTGATAACCACTGGGACCACCCTAGTCAGTTTATGGTCATAAACTTTACAAATTTTCAGATCTCGATGACTTTCTCCAATTCTTTTGTTTTCTATTCTACAATCCCCTGGCATTGGCACATTAATTATCCACATTTTCTTTTTTTCCAACCACAGTTAAATCTGATGCATATGTACCAAGACTTTATCAGTTTATCAGTTATTGTAGTTGTCAGGCAGATGTTTAGATTGGATTTGGCATTTTCATCTACCTATCAATTCCTTCCTATTTAGCTTCCCCACACACCCCAATGCTTCTGGATGGCTTACCACATATCAAATATTGAATTAAAATTATTTTTAAAAAAAACAACAACAACACCGAGATAAAAGAGAGCAAGGGTCAGACTTTTCTCCTTAAAATTCATTGACAAATTCATTATTGACTCGGGGTTGCTGCATGCAAAGGCTGACTTGCTGGGATAATCGTTGGGGTGGCATGAAAGGGGTTGCCCCTCTGGAAAGTGGAATTGCACCTCTTCCAATGAACTGTGGGGGGGGGGGAGCTGAATGGTGCCCCTGCCAAACAGGCCAGTGGCAGGTGAAAACTCCATCCCTTCAATAGGAGAGCGTCATCCTACAGTCCAAACCTGGCACTTCTAACGCCTTTCCCTGAGAACGGACAACCTTTAGCCTTTCTGAAGGACCGGAGCGGGGACGGAGTAGCCCGTAATTGTTCCGGAACAAGGGCCAAGCCTTCGCCTCCCACCCGCAGGGCAGCCGCCCTGGGGTCGCCCAGGCCTCAGAGGGCTGGCGGGAGCGCAGCGGCCCTAAACTGCACGGGGCGCTGGAGGCTGTTCAGGCGCGCCTCAGCCAGCCGAGCTGGGAGCCTCTGCGCGGAGCTAGCGCCCGGTGGGCAGGAGGGCGGACGGGCAGCAATGCCCTTGGCAGCAGCAGCCCCGGGATCCCCGTTTCCCCGTTGGCCAGGCCTTGGAGCGACCGGAAGAATGCGCTTGCCTCGGCGGTGCAGAAACGCCGGTCGAGAGCAGCCAGCGCCGCCGAGGCCGTGGAGGGGCGGGGGCGGCGGAACTGTCCCCGGGCCTGAGGAGCGCGAAGCTCAGCCGCCCCTCGCGGGTGGTGGGGGGTCCCCCAGTGTGTCAAGGCTGCCCGGGGAGCCCTTTACGGGCGAAAAAGGCCTGCGGTGGCGGCGGCGTCGAGCAACGGCAGCTGCTCCGAGAGGCAGCCCGGCCTCTTCCCGAATGGCGCTGAGGTTCTCGCAAAGGCTTCCTCCGGAGACCCCCCTCTGCCCCTGAGGAGCTGAGCCCCGTTTTCTCCGCCTTGGGGACAAACGTGGAGGCCGTGGAACCGGTAAGTCTGCGCGCCTCTACGGATTCCCGGGAGGGCGCTGGGAGGACCTAGAATACCGGGGTTGGAAAAGACCCTGGAGGTCTTCTAGTCCGACCCCCTGCTCGAGCGGGAAGACCGGGACCATCCCGGGCCAATGGCTGCCCATGCGCTTCTGGAAAACCTCCCGGGATGGAGCAGCCGCAACCTTGGGAGGGCAGCCCTTCCAACGAGCGTTGTCCCTGCCGGAGGAGGCTTCCAAAGGGAGAAAGCGGGCAGCCTCAGCTCCCCGTGCGGAAGTCCCTCGCCCGCCAAGAAGGGACCGCGCTCATCGGCATGGGGGCAGAAGCTAATCGCCGCCCAGAAGCGGAAGAGAGGCCGGGCCGGGACGAAGCCGGAGACCCGAAGGAAGCGCCCGGCGTCCCGCGATGCTCGGGCTCCCTTGGCTTTAGCGACGAAGCTGCAGCGGCCGGAGGGCGTCAAAGGGCGAGGGTGGGAAACGCGCGTGCGGGGAAGCCGAGCCGGCCACGGAGGCGCCACGCGGTGCAGCTCTCGCTGCGAGATGAGCCGCCAAAGCCACTTGGAGCTCCCGCGACTTGGCAACGCGCCCTTCGGGGGGGGGGAAGAAAACCTCGCGGGGCGCGGGAATTCAACGGCCCCACAAACAGTTCGGGGCGCAGCGCCTCCTGAGGCCCGGAGAAGCTAGCCGGCTCCATTCCGAGGAAACCTGGGTTTGCCGCCTATGCACTCACCTGGGCGGACGCCGGTGGACTCAGGCTCCCGGGTTGGAGGAGCGAGGACGACGGCGGGCACGCCGAGGGGGCGACGGAGGGCCCGGCGCCGGCAGAAATCCGCTTGCGCCCTCCCGTCTCCCCCAGCAGCTGCGGGCGCGCTTCTTCCCTTCCGCCCACGCGCTGAGCGCCGGAGCCCCGCGGAAGAAGCGCCTCCCGCCCTAATCAGGCTCGCCCTCCCGGCGCAATTCCCGGGCCGCCGTCTCTCGACGGGGCGGGGGCGGGTCCCTCGCTGGGGCGCCCTATGGAGGTGCGGGACTGCCTGCCACTCGCGGGCGGCGGAACCAATAGGGCGCGCGGGGGGGAGTGGCTGCGCGCCGGGCCGAACGGGGCTCTAAAGCGCGCCCCGCCGCCCAGGGTGTCCCAGTGAGAGCCGCAGAGCGGAGCGCGGCCCAGCCAGCTCCCGTGCGCGACCCGAGCGACAATGGCCACCACGGCGCAGTACTTGCCGCGCGGCGCCTCGCTCCTGCCCATGCCCGCGCCGGAGGCCGAGCGGCTGCACCAGGGCCCCACCTACCGCGAGGTCCAGAAGATGATGCACCACGAGTACCTCCAGGGGCTGGCGGCCACCCCGGGCCACCCCATGGGGACCCTCCCGCACCACCAGTGGCTGCCGGGCGCCACGGGGGACTGGGGCGGCGGCGGCGGGACCCACCTGGACCATGCCAAGGCCGGCAGCGGGCCGCGCGGAGACCTGGACGGCGGCGGAGGGGGCTTCCACTCCCGCTCTCACCTGGTGCACCAGCAGGCAGCGGGAGGCGGCGGGGCTCACTGGGGCCAGGGCGGCCCGACGCATCACCTGGGCGGCTGCCCCGCCGCCATGTCCCCGACGGCGGGCGGTCCGCAGCCCCTGCTCTATTCGCAGGCGGCGTACCCGGGGCTCAACGGAATGCTGGGCCCGCAGGCGCCCGCGCTGCACCTGCCGCACGGCCACGACGAGGTGGCCGAGGCCCACCTGGAGGGCTCCCCGACGCCGCTGGGCCACGCGGGGCCCGAGCCGCCCTCCGACGAGGACGCGCCCAGCTCCGACGACCTGGAGCAATTCGCCAAACAGTTCAAGCAGCGCCGGATCAAGCTGGGCTTCACGCAGGCGGACGTGGGGCTGGCGCTGGGCACCCTGTACGGCAACGTCTTCTCGCAGACCACCATCTGCCGCTTCGAGGCGCTGCAGCTGAGCTTCAAGAACATGTGCAAGCTGAAGCCGCTGCTCAACAAGTGGCTGGAGGAGACCGACTCGGGCAGCGGCAGCCCCGCCAGCCTGGACAAGATCGCGGCGCAGGGCCGCAAGCGCAAGAAGCGCACCTCCATCGAGGTAGGCGTGAAAGGCGCGCTGGAGAGCCACTTCCTCCGTTGCCCCAAGCCGTCGGCCCACGAGATCACGTCGCTGGCGGACTCGCTGCAGCTGGAGAAGGAGGTGGTGCGCGTGTGGTTCTGCAACCGGCGGCAGAAGGAGAAGCGCATGACGCCGGCCGGGGGGCCGCACCCGCCCGCCATGGAGGACGCTTACTCGCAGGGCGAGGCCTCCCCGCCGCTGCACCATACGCTCCGGAGCCCGGTGCAATGACTGAGGAACGGCGCCGGCGGCTATGCAGCCGGCTGGTCTGGCTGGGACTGGCGGCAGGACTCTTGCGCGGGCGACGCGTTGGGCATCGGGGACGGCGGGGAGCCTTGAAGCTTGGAGAGCCGCCCGGCCGCCTTCGGGGAGCGTCCTCGGCCTGCCCGCCGCCACTCGGCTCCAATTGAAACTCGGTATTTATTGATCCCCCTCGGAAAAGCCCCGGCCGGGACAGGCGCGGAGGGGCGCCGCTTCCTCGAGGGCGCGTCCGAGCGGTGCCTGTCTCCTTCGCCGGGAGGACTCGAGGCGGCGCTTCTAGGCCCGACGGTCCCTCAGCCGAGCGTGTCCCCGGGGTCTTTCCGAAGGGGGCTCGTGGCCAGCGCCCTCGGAGGGACTCCGCGGCCAGAAAGCGGCTGAAGCCGTTGTCTTCTCCCTTATTTATGTTACAATCAATTATTTTATTACTCGCATAAAAACATTTATCCGGAACCGCCTCTTGTCTTTCCTTTCAAAGCCCGAAGGAGAAAGGCGGGGGGGGGGGGGGGGGGGGGGGGGGGCGCAGGGCAGCCTGGGCAGGTAGGTGCTCGGTGGGTCCTGGGAAGAGGCGCGGCGAAGCCCTACTTGGCCTGCCAGGCTTCCTTTTGTTCACGCCGCCGGGCTGCCGCGGCCCGTGCAAGATCCTGCGGTCCGCTGGCGGCCGTGTCAAGCACTCAATTCGGTCCCGAACTCCCCGCCGCTCAGCCGGGAGAGTCGCCCTTCTCCTCCTTGCGCTCGAAGCTCCCGGCCGGCAACGCAGAGAGGCGAGCGATGGCTAGGGCTGGGCTCCTCAACTCGGGCTAGTCCCTTCTTCTTCAAGCGGGGCCGGCGCTGGCCGGGGAAGGGAAGTGCGGGGAATGGCAAGTTGGCCCCGGGATATCCTGCTGGAGAGTCGCCTTCCCTGTCCAGGGTTCTGTTTCCGAGACCGGCTTTCGCTGGCTTCCTTGGGAGGGAAACCTCCCAGGACTAGCCTGAGCCGTGGAATATTATTATCGGGAACCGGTTAGCCTTTTTCCTGAAAGGGAAGACGCACTTCCACCCGAAGCCCTTTCGCGGAGAGCGTTCAGGTTAAGCCGCGGTAAAGGGGGCGCCAAACTTTAGGGCGCCAAAACAGCTTTTTTTTTCCTTATTATTATTTCAAAAGAACAGCGAATGTTCTAAGTAGTGAATATCTAAGTAGTGAATTTTCGAATTATGGCCATCTCAATTTCACTCCGTGCTTTCATTCTTTTTTTTTTTTTTAATTTAATCCACAAGTGCTTGAAATCAACTTTAATTACAAGAGGAAGACCAAAAATGCTTCCATACCTTTATGACACATTATTAGTTTAACCCTGCTGGGTGCCTGAGATGCTTTCTCTGGTTATTTCTTTGACTTCTTGAACTGGGCTCTCAAGGAGAAGAGAAAAAGCAGGAAGGGGAGTCCAGCCAGACCAACCAGGCTCCACTGCAAGCCAAGCAGCCTTCCAAAGAATTTGTGAGATGGGGAGGAAGGAGCATCCTTTGGAAATGGGTGAGTGTCATAGAAGAGCTTCATCATTGTTGTGGTTGTCATGCAAAGCACTGGAGCAAATGTTTTCCTGACACTGCCTCTTGCCTGACAAACGTCCACTTTTAGGGCAGTTTAGATCACAACCTGTTCTGTGCATAAGTGGCACGATTTCAAGGCAGTGGGCATTCCGGACGCTGCTTCCCTTCTTCATCCAGACTTTGGGGTCCCCCATCAGAGCTACCAGGGTCTTTATTAGGCCATTAGCTGCCAATAGACAGTGGGAGCTTTTTGCTCTGCTAGCACAGCAGGGCCAGCCAAGCTCTTGGGAGGTGCACCCAGTCCTTCCAGGTCCAGAAGGAAGAAAGTTCCTGAAAGCCAATTCACTAGGTTGGAGGAAGGAGAGATTAAGCAATCGGCCTAAGAAAGGGGGCTTCACTCAGCCCGGCTCTTCTCTGCTAAAGAGACGGCCAATTTGCACTGGCCAGAGGGGGGGGGGAATCTTCTCATCCAAGTACAGTATTTTGTCCAGCAGAGCATGAAGGGAGCAGCAAAAGGGAAACTACAAAGATGTGGAGGATTTCAGTTGCACTTCTAAAAATGTGTCTGGTTAGAAAGAGCTTCATCCGTCTGTCCGTCCGTCCATTATGCTTCCTGCCTGGGAAAGGTTGGAGGAAAAGGCAGGATGGATCGGGTCCTTGTCTGACTGCTGAGGAGCACTCGTGATCTCTAACCTTGGTAGAAAGATCCTGGGGAGTCCTTGGTGCTCTCTGAGTTTGGTGTTTGCTTGCAGAAGATCCTTCCCTGGGGGGGGAACAGATGTCCTCCATTCTCTCCAGAGAGGCTCCCCCCCACCCCCCATGAGAGCATCCGCTCTCTTCAAAAGTAGCCAGGCTGCCTTGCCTGCACCCCCTCCCCGCTTCCCCCATCCATGCCTCTTGGCTGCCCTGGAAGGTAGGAAAGAGTTCAACATCTTTTCCAGGTGGAAATCGGAATCTAGAGGTTAATCTACTTGGGTTTTGTACACAAAATAGAGAGTAGGCTATCCTTTACCCCTGGGTGAAAAATGAATGAATGCACATAGTGTGATTGGTCATTCTCTTAAGGAAATAATGCGATAACCCACAGATGTTCTCTTTCTTTCATGGGGGGGGGGGGTGTTATATCAGCACTTACTTGGGAAGAAACTGCTTCTTTTGAGTCTACTATTGGGGGAAACAAGCCATATATTTATCATGAGAAAAACTCAGTTAGTTCTGCTCTTTGGTGCACTATATAAAGACTCCACCAGTAATTAGACCAAGTCAATAAGTTCACGGAACAGCCCCCTTGCATTCACAGGGCTGCTGCCTTGTTTCTTCAGCATCTGCTAGGCATCAAAAATTATCCCTGATAAATCTCTCTCCCTCCCTCTCTCTCTCTCACCCCCCCCCCCCCCCCCCCCCACACACACTGCATGGCTCCATATGCATGGAGTCTCTGAAGCTGACTGGCCGATACACAACAGGATATGACTCAGCCCTTGAGAATGCTCTCTTTCCAATTGTGTCCCTGTGACTCTGCTAGCCACCTCAAGGGGATGCCCAGGGCAAGGCCATGTGGACACCAGTCTGAGAGAGAGAGAGGGCAGAAGCCTGGAGGGGAGGGCGGTAGGAAAGGGTTTGCCTCTTTTGGAGAAAAAGTATACATTGATTAACTTGCTTTGTCAATTCATTGATAGATGAGAGTTCAGGTTTTTGACTTACACAGAAGATTGATTGATTACTAGCATTTGGTACTTCCATGCTGTTCGAATGAAGAACATTATTACTACAGTTCAGATCTTAAAATTTTAAACAACCAAATGGAACTTCCAAATGCAATGCAATCTCATTAATTAAGTAACTCACTACTTAGTGAAGCTTTACGTTTTGAGCGCAAAATTTTGTTACTGTATGGGTGATTTCAAGATTTCAATTTTCATGGGAAAATTCCAAATTTGTTTGGTTTGAACAAGCCAGCAGATTTTGTTTTATTGAGAGCACCCTTCTGGTACAATCTGTGGCTTTAGGAACTGTTCTCAGTGTCATCTAAAAGGCTCTAAGTGATAGAAAGATCCATACAATTTTGAAGGAGTCTTGTCAAAAACTGACTGAACAGGGACCCTGGGAAAGAAAATCCTGTTTGGGATATCAGGTCCAGGAGACCAGGAAACCAGTGAGGGCAAGGCCAGCCTCTCCATGGCTCCTCCTCTGGGTCAGAAAAAGGAGACCAGCCCTGATAGGCAGGATGAATAAAGCACCCCCAGTGTGGTCAACCATGGAATCGTACCATTGGACTTGAACAATGAGCAGGCCAAAAGGAAGAGAAGCAGCCACATCTTGTTCAGGTAAATTTTCTAGGGTAACTCATGTAAACGCAATCTGCAAACGTATCCTTTCATTTCAATGGGATCTACAGTAAAAAGAGCAAGGTTGGTGTCTGTGAGTAATGGCAGGAACCAAGAGAGAGAGCAAAGGCAGCATTTGAGGGGCTACCCTGTCTGACTTGGAAAGAAGGTGGAAGAGGAGGAGGAGGGGGAAGAAGAAGAAGCAGCAAGCTTGAGGGGGATGGAGTCTCTTGGCAGAGTCCCTCCACCTCAGCATTGTGGCTGTTACAGGCAGGCCAGAAGTCTGTGCCAAGTCCATTAACAAGGCCACCTCTTATCCCCTTGCCCAGCCCCCAGTTTGTCCCTTGAAAAAAATCCTCCTTTTCATGATACATTTTTTTATTTTTCAACTGCTTTGGCTAAACCATATAGTAACAGAGTTGGAAGGGACCTTGGAGGTCTTCTAGTCTTTTACAAGCAGTAGACCCTACACCATTCTGGAAAAATGGTTGTCCAGTCTCTTCTCAAAACCTCCCACAAGCTGTTCCACCAAATGATTGTTCTCATTGCCAGGAAATTTCTCCTTATTTCTACATTCTCCTTGATTAGTTTGAAAATTGAAAGAAAATTGATTTCATTTCATCACTATTATTTTTCTACCTTCTAACATTCACAAAATTGTTAGATATCACCCTGAAAAAAATAAAAGTTTCACTTATGGCCAAGTTTAAAACAATACAATTTGTTTTCAAACACCAACAGAGAGATTTATGTTCAATATTTTCATGAAATGTGTTAGAAAATATAAACTTATTTATTCATAAGAATGTAGTAGATTAAAATGAGGATTCAAAACCATTCAAAACCATACATATACAATAGTTTAACTGAAATAAACTGTGATTGGATGCCCAATATTAAAATAAAAAGTTTCTTTGCAATAACTATAATAGGAGCTGTTAAAGAGGGAACACAGTGTGTTTTCTTTGGTTTAGCCTTAGAGAAACTTGTGGCGAAACATAAATTTTATTTTCTGAAATATTCACTTGAAATTATACTATAATTTCAGGGTTAGAGTTTTATCACAATATAATGCATAAGGATTTCCTAAGATAATGTTACCCTTATGGGGAACAA